GCAACCTCTGATGATCCGCTCACAGAAGTTGTCAGCAAGTTCTGGCAATTGGAGAGTGTCGGCATGGAGACCACCAGCTCCGACTACCTAACCCCTGACGAGCGTGCAGCAGACGACATGACGAAGCGGAGCCTTCACCACAATGGCACCAGATTCGTCGTCGGGATCCCGTGGCGGAGTGGTGCAGATCAGCCGGAGTTACGTCAAGACTCGCGGCAGTGCGCTGAGCAACGGCTCAAGTCCCTACATCGCATCCTTGAGCGGAAACCCGAGGTTCGTCTGCAGTACGCTGAGGTGCTCAAGAAGTACCTGGAGCGTGGGTACATTCGATCAGTCCTGCCCACAGAGGTGGAAGATGCCGGAACCGACCAATGGTTTCTCCCGCATTTCCCCGTCATCCGCAACGACAAGTCAACGACAAAGGTCCGAATCGTATTCGACGGTTCTGCGAAGGTCATGGGTGACAGCATCAACGACCGCATGCACGCTGGACAAAAGCTGCAGAGTGACCTGGTCAAGGTCCTGCTGCGCTTCTGCCATCACCCTATCGCCCTTACTGCCGACATCTCGGAGATGTTTCTCCAAGTTGAGCTCCGTGACAATGACCGGAAGTACCACCGGTTCGTCTGGAGTGAGTCTCCTCACCACCCACTCGTATTCTTCGAGTTCTGCCGCGTTGTCTTCGGCATGAGAGCGTCCCCGTACTTGGCAGGCCGAGCGCTACAAGCAACGGCGGAGACCTTTGCAGATACTGCCGGTCCCGAGGCGATCAACGCCGTTCGAGACAACTTCTACGTTGACGACCTGTTGATGTCGACAGCTACTGAAGCATCAGCTATAGTTGCCCGAGAGGATCTCCAGGAAATCACCACACGCGGTGGATTCCACCTACGGAAGTGGCTCAGCAATTCACCGGCTGTGCTTAAGTCCATCCCTGTGGCAGACCAAGCCAGCACAAGCAGCGTGATGATCACCAACCGTGAGGAACCATCCACTCTTCACAAGACCCTCGGTGTGGCTTGGAATCCAGTGGACGACCACTTCACCTTCGTGCACCCGGAGCCAGACGCTGTACGATTCACACCGCGTGGCGTTTTGAGTCAGATGTGCCGGCTGTTCGATCCGAGAGGGCAACTATGCCCGTTCACGATCCGTAGCCGTGTCCTGTTCCAAGCCTCCTGTATCCGAGGCACTCGCTGGGACGATCCCCTGGACCACGACCAAGCCGAGGATTGGCGGAAGTGGTTTGCCGAAGTTCCCGACCTGGCGTCGATCCAAGCCAGTCGTTGCTTCACTGACGCTGAACCCGGTGAGCTGTCGCTCCACACATTCGCCGATGCCTCAGCGGTAGCGTACGCAGCTGCCACATACGTGCGACATGAACGTCCAGACGGAACCGCCAAGGTAACCCTTGCCCTCGCTAAGGCCAGGCCAGCTCCAATCAGACGCAAGACCATCCCGATGTTGGAGCTGCAGGGAGCAGTTCTTGGTGCGCGCTTGGGTCAGACTGTTGCTGAAGTTCTCAACATCCCACACCCCAAACAGTACTTTTGGACGGATTCAATGAACGTCCTGTACTGGATCAAGTCTCCAAGTAGGAAGTTCAAGGTGGATGTGGGCAACCGTGTCTCTGAGATTCAAGACATCACCAACCCTGGCAACTGGCGACACGTGCGTACCAAGGACAACCCCGCTGACATGCCCAGTCGTGGAATCAGCGCAACACAGCTCGCCACAGACGAAAAATGGTGGAGTGGACCGGCCTTCCTGTCCGAGTCGCCTACTACGTGGCCGTCGAAGCAAATCATCCCTCCGGCGGAGCTTCCAGGGCAATTGAAACATGGAGTTGCCATGGCAGCCATTGGCAGATCGCAGTCCTGTCGCCTACACCCCGACAACTATTCTTCCTGGCAACGCTTGGTGAGGGTAACATCTTGGTGCCGTCGCTTCATCAATAATGCGAGACGTCACACTGCCCCACCGCCGCCGGGGACATCTCCTGAGAAATCTGTGACCATTCCTGGGAAGCGCGCTATTGATGTCGCAGAGCTCACCGTCCAGGAACTACAGCAGGCGAAGTACCTCTGGATCAGCACTGCACAGAGGGAGGCCTACGAGAGCACGTATGCTGATGTGAAAGCTGGCAAACCACTGTCGGCGTCATCACCATTGCGGAAACTGCAGCCAGCCATGGACAAGACAACTGGTGTCCCAGTGATGAAGGTGCACGGACGGCTTCGTACAGCCCATCATCTGCCAACAGGTGTCCGTTCACCCGTCATCCTGCCAAGAAGCCATCGAGTGACGTGGCTCATCATCGCAGCAGCAGACGCAGACGCTCACCATGCTGCCGGAAGCAACCACCTGCTCTCAAACCTTGCTGGAGAGTACTGGATTGTCAAAGGAAAGGCTGCAGTGAAAGAGCATCGAAATAAATGTGTCCTCTGCCGTAAACGCAACCAGAAGACTGCAACCCCACCCATGGCACCGCTACCGAACTTCCGAACATCACCCCCGCTACAACCGTTCTCGAGAGTCGGAGTTGATTATGCCGGCCCGTTCTTCACGCGACAAGGACGGGGCCGTGCACAGCTGAAGCGATGGGTGTGCATCTTCACGTGCCTCCAGAGCAGGGCGTGCCACATTGAGCTAGTGTACTCCTTGGACACCGACGGCTTCCTCCTGGCCCTCAGCCGGTTCATAAAGAGGCGTGGCGTGCCGCAAGAGATGCTGTCGGACAATGGCTCCAACTTTGTTGCTGCGGATAAAGCTCTGAAGGACGCCGTCCAGTCCCTCGATAGTTCCCGGATTGCTGGAGAGTTGACTGGCCAGAACATCAAGTGGCGTTTCAACCCGCCAAGAGCACCTCATTTCGGTGGGGTGTTCGAGGTCGTCGTGAAGTCAATGAAAAGGGTCCTACAGCATGTGCTGTACAAGGCAGACCTCTCGGATGAGGAGCTGCATACGGCGCTGGTACACGCGGAGGGTCTCATCAACAGTCGACCATTAACTGTCATCTCCTCTGATTCGAATGATCTTCGGCCCCTGACGCCACAGCACTTCCTCGTGGGCCACGCAGACGCCACACTGGCCGCTGAGCTGGGTGTCCAGCCAGCAGACACGGTCCATCCTCGTCGCCGCTGGATGTACGTGCAACGCATCGTCGCGGAGGTCTGGGCACGATGGGTGAAGGAGATCGTACCGAAGCTCAATGTGCAAGTGAAGTGGTTTCAGCAGCAGCGGAACGTCGAAGTTGGTGACATCGTCATGGTCATGGACGACAATGTCCCACGAGCACATTGGCCACTCGCTAGAATTACGGCAACCTACCCTGGTAAGGATGACGTTGTCCGTGTGGTGGGGGTCAACATCCAGGGCAAGGTCTTAAAACGGCCAGTCCATCGACTAGTTCCACTTGAAGTCGAAGGTGCCACTGGTGAATGAGTAAGACGGAGTGTCACAGATAGAATCACTCATGACAATAGCAGCCAATGTAACATCAGTGGTGTCGCATAACTTACAATGCTTATCGATCATCTTTCCTATGTTCTTTTGGTTTGCTATACTGTTGTTTGGGTCTCACTAATATTGCATGATAGCATATTCGTTCGAGAGGGAGGAATGTTAGATTTGTATGCGCATCAGTGCACTCGCTATACATGATTGTCTGATGTATTGTTGTAGTTCTTTGTGCATGTTCTTTGTCTACTATGATTGATTGCATGGTCAGCTACCCCGGCGTGGGAACGCAGTCATCCGTGATGTTTCATGATTGTACTATGCATGAAGTACTAGTACGCATGCGTGTTACGCTTCTCGTTGTTCTTCCTTCATTTGTGTTTTGCCCTTTTTAGTTGTGTGTTGGAGTCTCCTGTGAGAGATTAGTTTTGATCAGTGCACTTGTTATTGGTTCAGCTTGGCATGTTTTGGTCCTTTTCCATGATAATACATAATAAACGAATTAGCAGTTGCCTTAGTGTTTTGAAGGTAACACCATGGGCCTAAATTGTACCATGAGTCCATAAATTATGGACTCATGGTCGTACCATGTACATGTACGTGTAGTTTTTTTTTGTTTTTTTGTTCATTTCAGCACAATCGTCGGTTGTTTTTGTTTGCACAGTGGCTTTCAGCAATGATTATGTACTTCTCACTTCCTTGGTACTTTTCAAAGCACAATGTTGGTGTCAGCGTATAAGCCCATGCCCGCGTATAAGCCCATGTTCTCGTATAAGCCCACCGAAATGTCCTTGTGAAACAGATAAGCCCATGGGCTTATCCGCGGGATTCTACGGTATTCAAATAGGGCTTTCAAATGCAAGATCATAATGTGAAGCAACTTGGAAGAATTAATATGTATGCAAAGTGTATCGGGGAATGCATGCAGGGCGCGATAGTGCGGGTTCGAATCCCAGGTTATGTATTAAAAAATAAGGATTTTTTTAAAGAATTTATAACATCCCTATGCTTTTTTTTGTCTAGGTCATCAAGGCAAAAAAGCATAGCATAGGGCCTAGGGCCCTGAGCTTCCAAGCTCTCTCGTTCAAAGAATCAGTCAGGAAAGTGAACTGCCTGCAAAGAGAAAAAAAAACCGGACCACCAGGACTCTAACCCGGGACCTTGCTTGTCATGAGCAATGCTATAGTCCTGCGGCGGCCCGACGCTGTTTTGCAAGTCCCGTTTCAGTCTCAAGCAGACAACCTGAGTTTTGCATGGGTGGAAAGACCATGTCCGAGATCCTAGGGATGTCGAAACGGCTTGTTGTCGCTGATGTCCAGAACTAGGGCATTAGCTAGTTGGGGAGAACCAATTTTAGATTTCGTTAGGTAAGTCGTTATTTTACGTTATTTTACGACTCATTGATTGAAATTGTCAGCATGTGATACGAATATTATTTTTATTGAAAATTGGAGCGGTCGATGTGATTTTGTTCTCGTGTTTGGATGATTTGCAGATCATGGTTGCCCTTTGCCGAGTGTTTATTTCCTATTGATGGTGATTAGAGATGGCACAGGGTTGATTTGTTGTAAAATTTGATGAAAATTACCCCCAAACACGGATCTTTCATACGAGAGGATTTTATTTATTGGGACACTATCTCGGCAACACCAGCGGAAGAGAGCTAGCACGAGCGAAGCAAAGGATATCGGAAAACGGCAGAGTGATAGCGATCATAAGCCGATCTTGGCAAACGAGCGATATGGAAGATGTTGTACATAATAGCGTAGTATTTTATTTGTCATTTGCTGCAGAGTTGAAAAGTACAATTCAAATTCAAATCAATTCAAAATTAATTCAAAAACTTCAATAGTGCGGTCCACCAGCCTTAGCTATCAGACTCACTGTCCGATTCACAGTCGGACTTACAGTCCAATCCACTGTCGACACTGCCCTCACCCTCATCATGTCATTGTGCGTATGCGTGCGCGCACACGCACACACACACACACACACACACACACACACCAGACAACACATGGCATTGTGCTCGTGCACGGGCGCACACAAACCGCACAACACATGGCATTGTGCGTGCGCGTCCGCGCGCGCACACACGCATAACACATAGCAAGCTAAAGATCAGCAAGAACCTGCTGCGACTGTGGCTGAGATAGCGCTGTAGAAGACACCACAGCCGCCACTGGTTGCCTCGCACCCGAGGTTGTAGTCAAAGCCGTACTAGCCGACACATCCGTACCCAGAGATGAAACTGATCCACTGGTGTTCACTTGAAGCGGCGGAGTAGTGGATCCTTTGAAGCCGAAATGAGTGGGCAACACGACATTGGCGGGGACAAGCCCACCAGAGGATATCGCAGCGGGCCTATCGTAACTCCTGGCAGTGAGCCTATCGTAATTCCTGGCAGTGGGCCCGTCGTAACTCCTGGCATTGGGCCGTTCTCTTGCCGGACATTGGGGTGCGGAGTGGACGTGGATGCGGGCAGGAAATCTGTGTTGACCGGCTGGACTGGGATGGTTGGAGTCGGGCCAGGTGTGTCAGTTCGGCAATGACTGGGTATTACCGGCCATCGGACCGTTTGCAGATGACACAGACAAGTGGTTGCTCCGTGAAGAGGAGCGATGCCATTTACCATACATGTCAATTGCTGAAGGAGACACACAGTTCAAACACAAAACGCAAATAAACACGCCACAATGAAATTCGATCCTTAAACAAGTCAAGTTCGCATGTCCGCGTTACCACGGGCTATACAATTGTGTTTAGAAAACAACCAGTTTATAATTCTGTCTCTTCTTGCATAAAAGTCAGCCTAGAATACTGACGTCTGCTTTGGACATTACTCTGACTCGGACCACACGCCCTGGTTTATTCTGACCTACATGTGTACCATGTGAAGTAGCGCGAGAGCCAAGCTGGTCATAATAATACGTGTAACAGCCACGAGCGTACTTCAACCAAAGAAGACTACCACATAACATGAGCATGAACACTTGCCATATTATTACAGGGTGCGACAGAGCTCTCGGCCATTGAAGAAAATGTTGAGTCACCTCCACCATTACACTGCGCACTTTAGCCGACTAGACCCTCCTGCACACAACCATCACCATTGCGAGGACACTTCCGTAGACGATATTGATAAACTCCTTCAGACAGCTGTTTCGCTAATACATAGCTCATCAGTGAAGGTAGATGTTGATGGTTGTGTGCAGGAGGGTCTAGTCGGCTAAAGAGCGCAGTGTAATGGTGGAGGTGACTCATCATGAACACTTGCATTCCATTTAATACATTCCTATGTTGTAGATGTCAGGCACTGTAGTGTTCACCTATACATACACATTGTGGCATTCCTTGGCCACTCAGAAATTCATGATAGTAGTGCATCGTGTTATGTTATGCATGCAGCATGTGCCGTTTCCCGAGTGAGCGCGCGCGCGCGCGTGAAATGAACGTAGCGGCTTTTAGTTGTTGTGCTTGAGTTGAGTCTGGACTCTTGTTGTTTTGGGGTGAAGAAATAAAGAATACTACAGGCACGTGTTGGTATTGTCATGATCTGGTGTGTACACGCGATCATGTGATCTTGTAGTTGAGCGTATGTGTTATTTGGATTTCCTTGGTCATGATCAAAAAATAAAACATGATCAAATTATGTCTACACATTCAACAGTGCCAAGAACTCACCTGGTCCCCTAGTAGCTCATTATCTTCTTTTTCAGCATGAAAGTTGGATACAGTGTACTAAGGCGGAGTGTGATGGTATACCACGTACGCATATGCCATGTACAATGTGATTGTCACGTGAGTGGATTTTTACGTACCCCACCAAGGGGCCAGCATAGCAAGTGTCCATTTTCCGAAGAGCTCTTGTGCTGCTAAACATACAGTGCCAGGTATTACCGGCGTACTCACATCTTCAGACCTTGCATTGCGCAACAGCCGCACTAGGACCTCTACGCCTCCTGCTTCACAAACAGCATACTGTGGGCAAAGAGGAGACAGAAGACAGATTTACACTCTAAACATTTTCCTGAAGTAAAAAATGCCCTCCCCTCCTTTTACAAATCCACACGCATTCCTATTGTGGGAAATCGTAAACAACTCCAACTATATTCTAGACATTCTATCCTGATGGCAGTCAAAATTTAGCCGCCAAAGTAAGGTTCTAAATTCCATGTTACCGCTGCACTTGCTCAACAAGCATTGACCACATTATAAAAGAATGTGCCCCACCGTCAGGCGAAATAGCACGTCATCGTACATTTGAGATCAGCGGGAAGAAGATGACGACGTCCACTAGTTTAGTATCTGTGCACACGAATCTGCTGTGTGTGTGACTCTGTGTGTCAGCTATGATATCATCTTCTGTGGTTCCATGCCTAGCATGTACGTCTGAACCATCCTGCAAAGTTTGAATGACGTAGGTTGAGCGATCGCTCCGCGAAATATACTTTTTGAAATTCTCTTCATAGTATATCTTCCACCATTGAAATTTCGAATTTCTTCAAAAAAAGTGCTGAGAGGGGTGGCTTCCAACCTCGATATGGCTTGTTCCAGGTATGCTTTGGAGCCATCTTCTGTTGAAGTAGTGGCGGGGATCTGCCCTGCAACTGCTACAACAAAAAATGATTCGATCTGAGAAAGGGTGAGACCGCGAATCTCGGTTGAATATTGAGTATTTCAAGCCTTTTCACGACGAAGATGGAGTTCTTTTTGGAGATGGACGTCGCGGCAAAGGACATGGTGTCCGATGTCTGGCGTCTGGTGAAGCCAGGGATCATTTTGTCCAGTCAGGTCGGCAGCCTAACCGTCGGTAAGCTTGTGTTTGGATCCCATTCTGCTCGATGTGGTAGATCACAAACAATTTGATATCGCACAAATTGATCTCAGCATCGTGCGTACGGTATTTTATATTCAGAAAATCCCAAAGTGTCTCTGTATGGCCGTCCTATGCCACGAGAAACTCCAATCAGGCTCCTATGTCCTCTGCCTTCGTGATTGAATGTCCACTTCGTTTGAACAACGAACACAACAATCGAGGACGGCTTTGCAATGAAAAATACAGCTATACTGGAGCTGAAAAAAAGAAGAAAAAAACGTGCTCAGGATGAGACTCGAGTACACGCATACTCTCCCAGCAGGTGAAACGCAAATTTTTGTGAAAAATGCGTGACGCCGACTGACCAGTAATTTCGCCTGACGCAGCTAGGTCACTCATACCTTATTAGGGACGCTGTGAGGACCGTAGGACATGTTTCTTAGCACACCCACGGCAGCGTGCTGCACCATTAATTTTCATCTCTCTGCAAAATGGGACCGACCAAGGCTGGTATGGCACCAAGATCCCTGCAAGGAAGAAGACACACACATTCACAAAATGGTCAATTGCTGGCATGTTGTTGGTGGATAATTCTCAATTTGAACTTGAAGCAGCAGCAGCAACAGCAACAGGAGAGGCAGCAGCAACAACAACAGGAGAGGCAGGAAAATCAGCAAGAGCGAAAGCAGTAACAGGGGAAGCAGCAGAAATAGCGGCACCAGCAGGGACAGCAGCAGCAGAAATAGTAGCAGCAGCAGCAAGAACAACAACAACAGCAGCAGCACGGGGAGCAGCAGCAGAAGCAGCAGCAGCAGTAGAAGACTAGATAGTTACTTGGCCAACTGAAAGTTGGAACAAACCTCCAGCTTACTTGTAGATTTACAGTCTCTAATAGATGATATGCCAAATAAGCGCTCGAAAAGTTGAGAGGGCATGCGATTGATGCGCCCAGGCTTAGCTTGTCAAGTGCACGGGATGTACAAAGTACACGGATTTTAGGCTTGTTGCGTGCTTACGCGATCAGGTGCTGCACGTGCATGAATGGAATGCATGCAGTTCCACCGTTACTAGTTTTAGCACTTCCTTCGGCGTTGAGATTACTGAAAAACTAACGCTGTAAATCTGGATAGAAGAAACAGTTTTGCTTGCTTTATAGCGGCTGGAGTGATTTTTCGCTGTCTTGTTTTCGGATGCCGACCAACCACGACCATTGCTGTGTTCCAGGATGTACTTGTGACCGGCGTTACTACCCGGCCCCAGCAAATGGTATTCGTCTTTTCCATAAATTTCCATCATCATGATCATCCTGAACTGTGAAGGAAATGGACTGTTGCTATTCGACGGGAGGAAAGGGAAGGAGAGCAAAAGAAAGTGACACTACAGTGGTGTGCTCTGACCATTTCTTGCCAGAAGATTATGTACAAGGGGAGAAAATCGCCAGAGCAAGACTGGTAAAACATTTCATTTTGTATCTGGAGTTTTCAATCTGGTCCGCCAAGACAACAGCGGCTGATGCTAACCGGCGTCGCTCTACCTCGTGTCGTGAGCTACTGCACGGGAGCTGCCTGAAGACATACCTATAATTGTAGTGATATCCCAGGCATACTGTCCCTATGCTGGAGGAAGCATTCGACAGTATTCAATGCAATCTGGGTGACTGCAAGAATGAAGTAGCAAAATTAAGTTTTTTTAAAGCGAAATGACTAACAGTCGCATGTTTGGATTTCTAGTATCCAGATTCAAAGACAAGTCATCATACCGTAGAATCCCGCGGATAAGCCCATGGGCTTATCTGTTTCACAAGGACATTTCGGTGGGCTTATACGAGAACATGGGCTTATACGCGGACATGGGCTTATACGCCGACACCAAGTTGTGTATCAAGGAAGTGAGAAGTACATTGCTGAAAACCACTGTGTAAACAAAAACAACGGATGATTGTGCTGAAATGTACGGAAAAAACTATAATGTGCACGTACTATGTACATGGTATGGCCAAGAGTCCATAATTTATGGACTCTCGGTATGACCTAGGCCCATGGGCTTGTACGATGAAGGTTTGTGATGTTCAAACAAACCCTGGGCTTATGCGCGGGCATGGGCTTATACGCGGGTGGGCTTATCCGCGGGATTCTACGGTATCAGTAACCAAGTTGCGCAACACACTCATTCGACGTTTCAAGCGGAGTCTCAAGATAACATTTGGCTACCCAGCAGCCACCATTTTGTCACCGCCACAAAATATTCCAGTCGCCATCCGTTATAACCTTATAATAATTATTACACCTTGTGTTTTTGCCTTGTTTTATAAATGTGTGCATGGCCGCCATGCTATAACGCCACAGCCCCCTCTTTGCAGAGTTTCCTTTGTTTTTAGGTCAAATATTCACCCTACGCTGGCTACGGAAGCCTTGACCAGGGGATAGCACACCCTCCCTTTAGCCTTACCTATTGCTGCTTCACGACATGGCTTCTCTTTGCAAAACATACAGGTACCTGGTCTCTGATAGCTGGAGTTTTCTTCCATCGGGAGCTGCTAGGCAGCCTCCTTGGTCATGCCGCAGAGGCTGCGTAGAAGGCGATTATGTTATAACAACCTTCTACATAACCTCTTTTGCAATACGTAATGGTGCAGTATGCAGCCTCGGCTTTTCATTCAACTTTTTGTCTCCATTTACCTCGAGCACCCTGTAAAAAGACGCATTGTCTGCAGGGATGGCACTAGTAAAATAATAAATACAACAATAATATAACAACTCTATTTGTGCTGGCCCTGACTAATAGCGGAAGCACATGAGAAACTGGTTGCCTGGAGCAATGAGGGAAGAAACGCTGATGTAATCTCACTCGGGCGAGGGATGAGGTGAAACCGCGAAGCAGGCAGGGTCTTGCTCCTCAGCCTATGCCATATGCCGCTGCCAATCTACTGTTGGGTATGGCGCTCTATTGCTATTGCCTCTGTTAGGAGCACGTTCTCTGTGAAGGCGGGATTTCCCAGTACAAAGGCAAATCAATGTTGCCAGTGTCAGTATGCCCAGGTGGTTGATAAGGGTTTTCGCAACTACGTTCCTTGGCCATTGTGCCCCATTGCTGTTGTTGCTAGGTTGCATATACCTTTCATCTCACAATAGTTGAGGGTCAGCACAATGCAACAATGTGGTGGAAGGAGCATGCAATGCTGCAGTACAAGTGCATTATGCAGACATCACTTCGAGTACATGCTTTCTTTTAGCACTGTAGCACACACTCAGCTCTCCTTCTTCTTTTGAGATGCCTTGACAAAGTATCTCTGCGGTCCAGAATCCTTTGGCTCTGGGAAGCAACACTCAACACTGTAAACGAATGGCGAGAAGAAGGACTCATTCCAGAATGGTTTCTGTGTCGTTAGGTACCTTTCTCGATTCTGAAGTTCAGCACTAGCAGAAGCACCACTTAGCAAATCCTCTGAGCGATGGCTCCAGGCCTCGGCGGGAAATTCTGCGTCTGTTTGTTGAGCAGCATCTATGATTTGATGGATTCGCCGGAGAAGCAGCTTCTTCTGTTCCCGATGCAGATGGTGTCAAGGTATTCGCTGCTGTAGCGACCAGTGAAGGAGGAACGGATTTTCATCGCCCTTTCGCTGCTCGTCGCCGACTGCCATCATTGTCCCCCGTCCTAACTAAGCTCTGGGGCGTTGAGAATAAAATGAACTCTTTCGGTCATTCCTCTGCAACAAATCATCTCGCTTTCCATCTACCGGTATCTCTCCCTCACGTAAGTCTTCAGCTGAGCAAAAGTCCATCTAGCAATCGTTTCGCCCACAGGTGGGTTCGCAAAACGAGAAGCAATTGCTGGGGTACTATTTCTTGCTGCCATATCCGGGTATCAAAATGAAAAATTGAAAGCAAACTATGCGCAAAGGTGTCAGAGTTCCTTTTCTTCATCCGAAAATTTTCTCCGACGGAATGCTAAAATGCAGTAACGGTGGAACTGCATGCATTCCATTCATGCACGTGCAGCACCTGATCGCGTAAGCACGCAACAAGCCTAAAATCCGTGTACTTTGCACATCCCGTGCACTTGACAATCTAAGCCTGGGCGCATCAATCGCTTGCCCTCTCAACTTTTCGAGCGCTTATTTGGCATATCATCTATTGACAATGATACGGTATTTCTCTGATGTTTCAAGTAAACATCAAAATTAAAAAAAACTTGCATTGCTACCATATAGGCTCTCCCAATGGGAGGGAGTCAGCCTTCATTCTATGCTGTGATTGTCTGCTTTGCTCCTCACCTCAGTTGAGTTTTGACATGGTGATTGGTACACACAATGCATGCTAAAGATACCCAGCGGCGTTGGCTACAGCCATCGTACCGCGGCTGTTGAGGAACCCCATCACGTCGTGCAGTGATAGCTGATGCGCTGGCGACCGGCCTGGCTGCTGCTGCTGCTGCTGCCTAGAGGAGTGTGACTGCGACTGCTGAGATTACTGGGAGTGCGCACCTGCCCGAGAGCTCTGCGCTGACTCGTTTCTTGCCGTCTGATAGTCATGTCCGTCCTCTACAAAGCAAGAATGAATAAAATCATGTATAGTGCCTTTGCTGTTTGCTGTTTGCGTTATGCAGGGCTCACTGACTTGTCAGTTTGAGCACTCTGGCAAGGTACGTTCGGACCTGATTGGAAATTTTTATTTCCATTGCTATCAGGTTCGGCCTCATTTCCTCTGTGCTGCGCCGACGAGTCCACAAAGGACGAAACAGTTCTGTCCGCAGATTGAGTAAAATCATGTATATGAATGTTCATGATTGTCCTGTTGCGGCCAGGGACACTGGCCTTGCAACGGCGAGCACTGCTGGTCATTTTTCACAGTGTACACATGAACTACAGTGCATGTATGAGGTAAATGCAGCAAGGACGCCGGCCGCGGTCATCCCATCGGATTTCAATATCCACAACAGTAGTTCTGCATTGACAAGCAATGCACAGACTTTTGCATGAAGAGGTGATTAGGTCCACATTGTTCAAGCAACAGAATGCTTTACAGCATGGAAAACTACCCACAAAAGTAAAACGTAATCGAGTATGGCGTACAATGCCCGTAAAAGGCAGAGCTCCCCACATTGTTTTCCCCTCCTTGCCTCACTCCACCCTATGTTCAGGCTACCCGTTTTGGACCTCCAGTTTTCTGACAAACACTTCAAAAATGCTACAATTTGTGTCAATCACCAAGAATTTGCTGACGATATAATCCCCTGATTTCTCCCAACCCGACTTAGATATTGTTGGCAGAACTCTAACGAGAGCAGTAACTGATATCTCCCGATGGCTTGAAGACATCGGCCTCGTAATGAATGCCAGCAAGACTCAGGTCATGTTCGTTCAGCCTCGTGGCGCAGCCATTGCCACACCCGATGTTTTCTGCAACAACGAGCAACTGGAGGTGACTGCCACCGCAAAGTACCTTGGTGTGATCGTTGACGACCAATTGTCATGGAGGCCACATGTCGACTATGTGTCACGTAGAACAGCACAAACCATAGGGCAATTGTGGAGGCACGGGCGTTCACTAACGCTGAGAGTTCGACGGTCGTGGTACACCAGTATGGTAAACAGCCAGCTGTGTTATGCTTCAGCAGCATTCTACCCAAGCCTCACAGCTCAGCTTCTCGACCGTTTGGGGAAGATCAGCAAGGCTGGAGTCAGAGCTGTGTTTCAGCTCCCTCGTCAAACACCGACCGCACCTCTTATTTCTAGATTAAATATTTCCCCACTAATCCATCATTTTAAGCTCAAGATTGTTGTTTTTGTCCATAGATGTCTTGCCTCCAATGCAAGCATGCTATTTTCGCCTTTCTTTCTGTTGATCCCTGAACCTGGTCTTGAGCAAAGCACACGCCGTGTTACACGTGGCCAGGTCTCACGTCTTCTCCAAATTCCATTTGTTCGTGGACCAGCATCTCGAGCGTCCATGCAATTCGTGGGCAGCGTGTATTGGAACAGGCTTCCGGCAAATATTCGTTGCCATGAAGATATTCTGGGTTTCAAAGCCCTGCTGTGCCCAGATGTTCTTGACACGCTTTCTCTGTCTTGAGTCATTCGTCAGACATGTGCATTTTGATCTTTTGGTTTGGCCTCTAATCGACAAACTGACTTTTCTCCTCAAATACCTCAACTTCTCTATTTCTATTTCATACATCTGCTTCGTTTATTCCTTACTCTTTTCTGTCTATCTTTTTATTTTCTTTCCCTTGTCATGTAATCACTGTCACTTACATACAAATACCGTCATAAAATATAAAACACAAGTTTTTCTCCCCTTTTTCTATTTCTTGTTTTTCATTAGCTTTAGCATGTTCATTCACATTCTTCATCATTTGTGAGAACTAGACCTGGTCTAGTGAGAAGGCATTCTACTGCCTGTAATTCTGGTGAAGTAAAATAAAGTAACAACAACAACAACAACAACAACAACAATGGAAGTTTCCGTGACGATTCCCTACAGGATTGGTGGGGAGGGGGGAGGGGGGTTGGATATACATGTCAGCTCACCTGATGGGGTTTCCGAATGGTCCATGGCCTGGGCAGCAATGGCCTGTCGTGAGTGGCTGTTCATTCCCCTGATCGCCAGTGCTACCTCCTGTTCCTGAGACTCCTGCCGTTTAACTGGGTGTCGGGCCCGTGAGGCACCATCTGGCTGCTCATTGTACCGGGACGGAATGCTTGAAATATGCTGATAGCTGCCATCGTCTGTTCGATTTCCCCGGACCAGGCTATTGTACTGGCTGAGATGTTGATTGGCGAGACTGGCAGGTAGCGCAGCTTCGTCACTGTACCAGGACGGCGGTGACCTCAGTGGCGATATCGTGCTGTCCTTTCCCACACCGGGATTGACTTCTGCAGCCGCACCGTAGCCGCGAGGGTCGGCTTCCGACTCGGGAATAGGGTCAATGGACGATGCACGGCGTGGCAGTGTGCTCTCCCCATCGCCGCCACGTCGCATGCTGTCATTGCTGCCGTACCGACCCCTGGTTTGGCTTCCTCCAGTCAACACACTGAGTCTTAGGTCTACATGCACGCATAGGAACAGCAAGCCAAATACTTCAGATATGATTGTAAAGAACAGAAACCATCACCCTGTGCTGTTGTGATAGCAAATGAATGTGCACTGTGTACACCTTGCACCTTGCCTTGACGATTAGCACCATGACATCACGATACTATGCTTAGGTTGCTGGCCTGAGAGAAGAATTATCTATACACTCCCTGATTCATGTGAAAGTGCAAACGCCATTCTATCACTATTATCTTACTTTCAATACTTAGGACAGGACCATGCTACTATCCCACGGCATGCGTTACACTTAGCATACATAGTGATACTCATTCTTCCAAGTTGCTTCACGTTATGATCTTGCATTTGTAAGCCCTATTTGAATATTGTGGCCAGCTGTCTTTTATGGTACGGTACGGGATAGCGCCAGTCATGCCGACGGCACAAACACACATGGAATTAAAGCTGTGTGGACCCTGGCTAGCACCAGACGTTACTGAAGTAACATCTTTTGCATAGCTACGGGAATAAAATCAGTTCAGCGACTGGCGAGTTCGAGATCACAACAGGGATCTCAACGGGGGCTATTGACGCTGTGAAATTTTTAGTGTTGAAACGAGCGTATCTATAACAAACAAGCGATCAGTTTCATCGATGTGGCAATTATGATTTTTAAATATTTTTTTCCTAAGTTCGATATTTTTGAGCTGGTTCAAATTATCACCGCCGGCATATGGGGTTGCTGCTGCTTCACTTCGGACTGCTGTTTGGTGTCGAGATGTCTTTTCAACGCCGTCGTTGAACAGCCTTTGAAAGAATACTAGTAGACCGCTTTCACAAGTAGCCCTGTTCTTCGCTGCATCGCGGGAAAAAACTTCCAAACGACTGAGCGTAACTTTCACTCAAATGGAGAGTTGACAGAAGCATGACCTGCGACAGGTCAGCAGATGCGAAACAAGACAAGTCCACCAAAGCTGCAATGACAACTGAAACAACTCAGTGTCGTGCAGATACAGTCACTGTAACTGCGAGTGATTTTCACTTTGCGCGGGACTAGACTCTCGTCGTCTCGATCGACCAGGGAGTCGAAAAATATTCTACGACTCCCCGGTCGACATGTACTGCCATGTGTACGGTGTTTGTTAGCGCAAACGAGCTGGCCGCACTAACGAGCCGAGTTTCCGGCGAGCGAGCTAACGAGTACACTCTACCCGGTGAGATCGTTTCAACACTAGACATCTTCTTTGCTGAAAGCTTCAATTGAGCAATGTGTGAGTGTGAGCATGTACTATCACTCCTCAGTAAGTGGGTGAGGACAAGGTGCAGAAAAAAGATTGACTGCATCAGGGTATCCCTCCCGGGATCCAACTGCAGTTACCCCTGCCCTCAGTGAAAGCAATACTTGCTACTAGTGTGGGTGGCTAAATCAGAGTGGATCTGATATAAGCTTCACTAGCACTATTGATTATACAAGAGTTAATCTAGCCAGAAGCAGTCCATGGTTAGCAGGTCAGGGCCGGAGGCTGTTTCTGCTTCCGCGGAGCGGCCGAAGGGCCATCTTTAAGGGGGTCTGGGGTCCTCCCTAAGAAAATGTTTGGAATTTAGACGGCAAATCATGCACTCTGGGCGACTCCCTGTACAAAATCATACATCGAAACTTTTTCTCCCCGGTTTTGGACATTCCACGTGGACCGACTTTTTGGGAAATTGGTATGGCCATGGTCGTACCGGCCGTACCAGTGGCGCCGGCCCTGCAGGTATGTATACTTCAAATAGAAAGTATATGAACCCTGGAACCAACAAAGGTGGCAGGTACAACATTGCACCTTCAAGCAGCCGAGCCTGTTGGCAACAGACCCAACACAATCAGGCATAAGTGTACCTACCAACTGAACTAGCTGGCACACACACACACACACACACACACAAACACAAACAAACACACACACACACACACAACCGCTCACACGCACACACATTCAGACATGCCTGTCGCGGAAGCGATGATGGCGAACAGCTATGTTTGACATAGCAACTTGTGCTGGGATTACACCATTCAACAGCTTGCAAGGCTGATGAATTGACCACCACTAATTTTATCCTGGTATCTACTATCCACCACACAGCTGATGCATGCATAAACACACACACACACACACACACACACACACACAAACACACACACACACGCACTACAACGCATAATATTATCATTATGAACAAACTGACCATACCTGGTGCCGTCGGCAATGCTGCTGTGGGCTTTGCTCCTGCGTCCTGGGAACGATAATCCTGCTCATTCAGCGTGCTACGTATTTTGCTGTTAGTACTGAGACGGACGGCTACTGAAAATGTTATTGCGTCTGCGTTGTTGTGATTGCTGTTGCTACGCTGCCTGCTCTTCCCATGGCTGTTGCTTCTGCTATGACTGCGGATCTTGTTATGCCTGTGGTTCTTGCTATGGCTGATGTTGCCAAGCCTGTTGGTCTCATCTCTTATCTGCCATAATGCCTGATGTTGTATGCGTGACACACCTGATACTGACTAATACCTCTGTCTTCTTCACGTAACACTCCGTCAATGCCGTTTCAGTTCTGCCTCCGGACACACTTGAAGTGCTTAGTGAACACCAGCAAGCCTTCAGTGTGTAATTTCTGGAACTGGCTGTTGTCGTTTGGATGCTGCACACAATTACAGCCAGGAATTCTGCACTGACGCAATCGAAGACTTGAGCTTGGGATAGGCAGTGACATGTTCATAATGCAAATAGATGATGTCATATTCCAGTGGCGAATGTCCACGTCGCGCTAATCCTATCACACTCTGCTCTGATCTTCTTCATGAGGCTCAACTGCCACGGACTCAGTTCTACAAGCACTATAACACAGCTAAATGGGTGATACTACATGCAAGTACATGTAGATCAGCACATCTACGATTGTTCTTCCACTTAAAGAATCGTCCCTTCGTTTCACAGCATAGAATAGGCGAATAGCTGTCTCTGAGCTAGTAACCAGGAGGGACATCCTTTACTTCGTCTTGTGCAGACTGAGTCTTGGCCACTCCGCTCTCGAATGGCTATTCGCTCACCGAGCAACTCTCTTTCTTGTCTCCAGCGCGCTAGCGGCGTCCACTCAGCGTCAGAGCCAGCTGCGATTTCTCGAATCGGCAGCAACTTCGCAGTCTCATATTCATAAGGACACTCTGACACAACAAAAATTAATGTAATTGTTACTTCGCTGTCTCCAGAATCCTCAGAGCCAGCCGCACACTACTCCACAAGACTCCTTTTGTCGATACTGAGAAGCTGAGCTACTTACCTGCCGAGAAACAGCAGGGTGCTCGGTAGTACGAGTAGTGGCAAGAGTCCATAAACTCTTGCAGTCTTCTGTCTTGGGTACTACACTGGTAAAAAGACATCATCGCAAGAAGAAGTAAACAAACCATACTAGGTACATGTACTAGACTGTACTTCGGCTTCGGCAAAATATTTTTCTCCTGGCCTGTAACGCTATCATGCTCTATACTGTACTAGACTGTAGCCTGTGTAGGTCAAGACTGGGTCACGTCACCATGGTCACGGCAAAGACTAAGTCACGTTGCGAAGGACTAAGTAAAGGGACCGTCACTTAATTTTTGCCGACTACCCGCCAAAAAAATCTTTTCGTTTCACGTGTCAGACACGTCCGGCGTCCGCGAGCGCGCGCGTACGACTCGACTCGCTAGCGCTACCTACTACTACAGTACTAGTACCTAGTACCTTTCAGTTTCACGTCAAGCAATATCTGTTCACCACACATGGCTGGATAGCGCGTACATGCAAACATTGTTACATGATTGTCAGATTGAAGACTTGCAAAATTATTTTTACAAGTCCAGGCGCTAGGCGCTAGGCGCTAGGCCTAGGCGCACTAATGCCTACACTAGTAATGCGTAATGGCAGCTGACTTTATTTTCGGAGAAACACTGTAGTATCCCTGCCTTGCTAGTACTGAACTGTTATGTAGCTGACTACTACAATCTACATTATTCTACTGACCTCTAATCATGTCACATGTACACGTACACGCACTGCATGACTCTTGTCACTCCTTTGCTGACAAGCCTGCAAAGCTAATTATAATCACTTCTCACCACTTGTGCTTCTCTTGCGCTTGCTGGATTGCATACTACATATCTTTGCTAGTTTAGATCATCGCACCTGTATGTACATGTAGAACTAACACCCACATGTTGTACTATACCTCCCTGACCCTGACTGAGGTCATGCGGACAGTCATGACCCTTTCTAGATCCTGTTTGCATCCATTTGCTAATGCCCTCCCTGGCCTCTGTTCTCCTCCAAAGTTCCGTTTGCTTCTTTCATCCTTATACATTTAGATACTGTTGCTATGCCTTCCCAAGTTCTGTTTGGACTGACACAACAGACTTTTGCCCTTTTTCATGACTCATGGCTCATGCAGACTCTATGATGATCTCCTTCCTTTTCGCCCTATAAAAAGCGGCCATGCTTTACTCATTTCTTCAGAACAGTCATATTCCTTTCAGAGTCTCTCCTGGCAGATTGAGCCGGAGCAGTTGTATTCCTTTCAGTGTCCCTCCAGGCAGATTGAGCCGGAGCAGTTGTATACATAACTTCAGGCAGATTGAGCCGAATAACATAATATTAGTCAGTCTTCTTGTGTGTGCCTCCTGATACCACTCGGCGACCTATTACAACACTACTCATTGTAGTAAAAAGTAACAATGAATAGCGATATCATCTAGGAAGGATCGCTACCCTAACGCGAAGGAAAGGCCTTGCGCGGCTGCTCTACGAAGTGTTGAAGAATGACTCAAAGTTCGTTGGTGGACGAACAACTCGCAGTGGTGCCGGAAAACTTGGCCCCCAACGATAGTGTTTGGTGAATCATTAAAGGGGAAGTTAGGCAAAAATTAAAATCTCACCAGTTGTAGTCTTCGGGCTGCTGAGTCGAATGGTCATGGTCCGAGGAAGCTGAGACGCTCCCTTCCTACTTGAATCCCAATCGAACTCGCTCACTTCCACCGAAACTGGGTGACTGCGCCCTACTAGATGGGGATTTGTATGCAAAATGTCACTAAAAGCGCCATTTCGTTCTTATAAAAGCATGGATGACCGCGATTGGCCCATATGTTGTAGTCTTTTGGACGCTGAGTCGATTGGTTTTGGTCCGAAATGGCTGCGATGCAGCGTTCCTCCTTTATTCCCAATCGAACATGGTTGAACAAGCGGTCACGTGCTCCTGCGTACGCCAGTCACCTGGTCACCGTGCCTGCAGGGTACAACTTACTAGCTTGTTTGACCTTTTTTGGGTGCAGTCCTGTCACTCGAGTTGAACCTTGGTGTGAAAGTAACAGTTGTCGCCTGCTGGCGCGGTGACCAGGTGATTTGGGCACCCAGGAGCACGTGACCGCTTCTTCAACCATGTTCGATTGGGAATAAAGGAGGAACGCTGCATCGCAGCCTTTTCGGACCAAAACCAGTCGACTCAGCGTCCAAAAGACTACAACATATGGGCCAATCGCGGTCATCCGTGCTTTTATAAGAACGAAATGGCGCTTTTAGTGACATTTTGCATACAAATCCCCATCTAGTAGGGCGCAGTCACCCAGTTTCGGTGGAAGTGCGCGAGTTCGATTGGGATTCAAGTAGGAAGGGAGCGTCTCAGCTTTCTCGGACCAAGACCATTCGACTCAGCACCCCGAAGACTACAACTGGTGAAATTTTAATTTTTGCCCTAAGGCCGCGGTCACACATGAAAAGCTTGCACCGCTTTTGCGGAGGCGGAAAGCGTTACTACCGCAGCCGCTTTGGCGGACCACACGATGCAGCGGTCACACATACATGCAGACTACTGTGCTCCTCAACGCTCCGCTTTGGCGGAGAGAATGCAAATGCAGCACGTCCTATGAAATTTTAGATGTTCTTGTCCGAGTTGAAGCGACCTTCGCTTGTACAAGTAGAGCTATCGTGGATCGCTGACAGGCTAGGCTGCTGGATGTCTCCTGTCAAGTACACTCGTGGATTTGGGGCGCATTCACTGCGGCCCAGTACAGGTGTATTTGAATATTACTAGTTTGGTTTACATCAATATCAAAATTTTAATTCAAATAGTTGTATAGTAGGGTGTCGTTGCCTCCTTCTTGTCCGAGTTGAAGCGACCTTCGCTTGTACAAGTAGAGCTATCGTGGATCGCTGACAGGCTGCTGAATGTCTCCTGTCAAGTACACTCGTGGATGTGGGGCACATTCACTGCGGCCCAGCACGGGTGTATTTGAATATTAGTTTAGTTTACATCAATATCAAATTCAAATTGTTTTATAGCAGGGTGTCGTTGCCTCCTCCATGATCCATCATCGACCCAGCGACTGCGTGGATGCCTGCAGTTGCAGTGAGGGTGTGGCAGAGTAACGTTACTCTACTACTCCCTGGTTGCAGTCCTAGTGTTGCATACTCTGGTGGACGTATTGCTTGGAGAGAGTTGGAGATCGTCCGCGATCGGGGCCAATGAGTTGGGAGACGGATTCCCTCACCAATTATCCACTCATAACGATGCAGTATTGTTTGCGAGATCTCCAGAACGTACAGTTCATTGGCAAAGAAGAACAATATGAAAACTGAATACCAAACGGCAACCAAACAACACCAGAACTCAGTGCAGAAGTAGCACACCAAACTCCAAAGCCATTACCATGCAGGTTCCGCCAAAGCGGATCCGCGAAAGCGGAGGGTCCGCTCGCATTTTTTTGGCGTAGCGAAATCCAAACTTTCCGCCAAAGCGTTACTTACGCCTCCGCCGTTGCCGAGGCAACGGCGGAAGCGTAAGTTACGCTTTGGCGGAACCGCCAAAAAAAGTGCATGTGTGACCGGGGCCTAAGGTACGGTGGCTCACACCCTCTGCGCGCGCATCGTTTGAAAAGTGTAGATTTTCAGTAAATTTTTCGGTAGCGATGATTTTTGTGCGATCAATCGTTGTAGGAAAACGTCTTCTTGCTTTTCTGCAATTCTGGCGACCCAGCTAGAACCTGCTGCTAGTGTCCCTCTTCGCTCGTTCTTTCTATGAAAGGAGAAGGCAGCACTGGCAGAAGATTTTCCAAGAATGCAATGTCGACTGGTGCTCGTACCAGAAGAAGGGAGAAATCAAAGTCCGCTCTTGAATCATGCCTGAGTATTAGAAAATTTTCTGAACACGCTTGTGTAGATTTCCTGCCAGTGCCACTGACATCTCGCGACCTTCAAATATTTTACTTGCTCGATCATCTCCCGCACTGACTGGCAAATTCGTCAGGTAGCTGTGGATGGATCGATTCAGGGAGATCGAAGGTAAATACATCGAAGCACTTCAAACACGTTTCAAGACGCACTTCAAATTTTGTAATTGTGTCTTGAAAATTGTTTAGAACAATTCGTACTTCAATACGCTGTTGAATTGTATCCTCTGCTTGGGAGTCTCGACTGTTTTATTGCTGCATGGCTTTCCTCAACACCGTTCACTGTACATGTATCGCGGAACGCAGATTGGATGGCATTGGAGGTGAATTTGATAATTTGTGACTGTGTCATCAACCAAGTGAGGACATCAAATATCAACAGGGACGCTGGGAAAATCACAAACGCTGCGAAATAGATATGGAATGGTCTTACACACTGGAGGGTATTCCACATTCATTGTGTCATATCTTTAGACTGTCCGAATGTTTGTCGTGCCGTGCAACTTTCACAGACTATTCCGATAATTGGCATGTGGCCCTACTGGCACACACTCATGCGTATGCCGTTGAGTTTATCTATATGTGCACGCACATGTGTGTATACATATACAATTTTATTACGTATGCAAAATTAGGCAATCTACATGTACATATATATGTGTGTGCACTCACTCCTATGACATAGAACGACAGCGCAGGCTATGAAGTCGCATGAATGTGTCACCCGGGTGTGTACATGCATGCGCGCTCGCGCGGGCGTTTTGTGTGCGCGCCTGGCATGGCATAACGCCGTTCAATATGACTAGTGTTGAACCGTGGTAATTTGCCCCCACCCCCGCTTTTTCTGCTGGCGTTGGATATGCAACTAATGACATAAACTCAGTTGTTGAAAACGAGTGCCATGCACCACAATGGATTGACAATAATAATTATAATACAAGTAGCACTGTAAAAGCGCTGGTAATACTCATGTTGCAGCCATGGCAGTTGTGATTAGCTTTCCAAGTCAAGCCTGCTGCAGAAATTATTGCACTCTGACCAGCTAGAGTGGCCCAGGACTGCCGGTTGTGGAGAACAGGAGTGATGCTTGCATATACGCTTGTATTTACATGATGTACACAGTGTACTTCGAAGTAACGTTAGGTGTATTACTTGTGTGTTCTTCTGCCTGTGCGCGTGCACATGTGCTGGTCAGTGTGGAACCGCCATCCATATCAGATCATACAGCTGCTATCAGTCTCAACAGCATGTATCTGGCAAATAGGGGTTTAGTGACTCGATTTTCCTTACTGTGTTCAACAGAGTGGCATTGCACACAGCTACTTGATGTTGTTTTTTTTTTTTTTTTTACTACAAAGCACTGGCCAGCAACATAAAAGGGGAGGTAGACAAAAGTGGACAAGCAAACTTTGACAACACAGAGGAGCGTGGCATGCGTGCCGATGAGGTAGGTCAACCTCCCCCGACCTAGTGGTCTCGGGTTCAACAGTTGGTCTACGCATCAGGAAGGGGAAATGGACAGAGAAAGGGAGAATGAGCATGAGGAGCTTCCCAGGAGAGGAAGAGTGAGAGAGAGAGAGAGAGAGAGAGAGAGAGAGAGAGAGAGAGAGAGAGAGAGAGAGAGAGAGAGAGAGAGACAGAAAATGATAATAATAGAGACAACCGGTTATTCTCAGTGCTGGTGGACTTCAGTGGCCCATAGCCAATTGGTCTGGCGGAGGTGATGGTAGGCCTTGGTCTTGAATGTCGGCAATTTCTTGAGAGTTGGGCGTTCGGCGAGGATTGGGGCAGGCAGTGTGTTCCAGCTCTCCAGGACAAAGTATGGGAAGGAGCGGCGGATGAACTCTGGACTGGAGGCTGGCAGAGGAGTTGCGAGTTGGAAAGAGTGGCCACCGAGGGACTGGCGTTGCCGGCGCGTCCGGGGTGCAGCGTTAACTCTTGCTGGGGGAGGTACCATGTTGGTGAGCAGAGCTGGACCTGGTATGCATTGCAGCTTATACAGGTAGCACAGCCCGTAAACATGCCTTCGGATTGCCAGGCTGGGGAGCAATGAGGGGCCAATAACCTTCATGGCTCGACGCTGGACCAGGTCCAGCTGATGGAGGTGACAATGTGCCGCACTTGCCCAGACGAGAGGGGCGTACTCCATTATAGGCCGTACAAATCCTTTGTACACAGTTAGGCGCCCTGCACTGTCCAGGATCCGAGATGCCTTTCGGAGCAGGCCGAGTCGCTGGTTGGCTCTAACGGCAAGGGAACGGATGTGGGCCCGGAAGGAGAGAGTACTGTCAAATAACACTCCTAGCAGCTTGAGCTGAGGGCTCTCAGGCACCTGCATGCCATCAAATGTGAGCTGTGGGACATCCAGGGATGGTCTGTGGCGGTCAAGGAGTATTGCCTGAGATTTTGATGGCTCGAACTTTATCTTCCATTGGGCACCCCAAGTCTGCAGGCGGTCAATAGATGCTTGGAGGCTATTGCAAGCAGCAGCGATGGTATCTGGGTTTCTGATTAGGGCATAGAGTGTTGTATCGTCCGCATAGACAGCTAGACTGGAGCCTGGGGCTAAACACTGTTCTGCATCGTTTACATATAACAGGAAAAGAGTGGGACCTAGGAGGCTACCCTGGGGCACTCCAGCCTTGATCGGGAACAGTGGGGAGGACTGACCGCCAACAACTACAGTCAGTTTTCGGTCATGGAGATACGACCTTAGCCAAGCCAGGAGTTGGCCGTGGATGCCACATTGCTGTGCCTTCGCAAGGACACCTGGGTGGGAAACCTTGTCGAATGCCCCGGCAATATCAACTGCCAGGGCATGCACAAGACCGCCGCCAGCCAGGGTAGTGGCCCAGGAATGCTGGAGAGCCGTCAGTAGGTCACTTGTGCCCAGTCCACGTCGGAAGCCAAACTGGGACGAGGAGAAGAGTTGGTGGGTTTCCAGGTGGTTCACAAGCTGCCGATTGATGATACCTTCCATGATCTTAGAGATGATTGTCAGGAGAGATATAGGCCGGTAGTTCTTCATCATGGATTTGGGTCCTTTCTTGTGCACTGGAACGACACGGGCAATTTTCCATGATTGTGGCTGGACTCCATTTGCAAAACACAGGCGAAACAATCTAGCCAGCGGATGTGCTAGTTCAGCTGCACACTCCTTGAGTACTCGTCCTGGGATCTCATCTGGACCAGTGGATTTGGATGTGTTGAGACGCTTCAGGCACTGTTGGACTTCAGAGACGCGGAAGCGGATGCGCTGCAGGCCCGGAATGGTAGTGCGGGGTGTTGCTGGTAACTCAGCATTGTCGATGTCATTATCCCCAAGGCTACATTTTTCAGCAAAGAATCTAGCAAGGCACTCGCTCTTGGCTTTCGATGTACTGTGCTCGTGCCCGTCAGCATCAGTGAGTGTTGGCACGTCTGTAGTCCTACCCAGACCGGCGGCGCGCTTGACATTCCTCCACCAGTCCTTGTCTCTCATGGAACCACGTGTGAGACGCTCTCGGACTGTCTGCTCTTCAGCTTGTTGTGCACGATGTTGGGTTGTAATAGATTGAGTGACAGTTGTCATGAACGACTGCTTCAGGCATTCGCTGGGCCCCTGGTGACGCCAGGCCTTCCATGCTTTCTCTTTGGCACGTTGAGCCTCAGTGCATTCTGGTGTCCACCAGCTCGGATCGGACGGCTTTGTTTCCAGCATCTTGTGGGGAATAAACTGCAGCATCCCAGACACGATGTGCCTAGTAACAAGGCTGCATGCTTCCTCTGGGTCCTCCGGAAACTCAGCTGCCCAGGCAATGCGACGGTAGTGGGCACGCAGTCTGTTCCAGTCGGCTTGGCCATATCGCCACACACGCCTCCGTGTGCTGGGCTCATTTTCTAGCGGGGCTTGAGCGAGCACAGCGTGGACAACACAATGGTCTGACCTTCCTATCGGCGGCGAGATACCGGTGGTCACAGTACCAGTGAAGTCAGAGAGCACTAAGTCCAGGGTGTTGAGACCTCGGGTTGGTTCTTGGACATGCTGCATGAGGCTGTGGGCAGCGCTTAGTTCCTCCATGTACTCCCCTGCACGGGTGGTCTTAGAGCTGCCGAGCCAAGCCGTGTTGTGGACATTGAAGTCTCCGACCAGCATGGTGTGGGTGCCGTGTTTTCTGACGCTATCCAGGATGCCATCGATCGAGGTGCTCAAGTGTTGAAATATCAGTGTCTGAGGCGGATCCTGGCCTGTATACAGCACCCAGCACTATCTTACCATGATGGGCAGACTGCACTGTGAGCCAAGTTACTTCGTGAACAGATGAGTCGTACTGATCTAGATGATGGTACGCCAATGGGCTGCGTATCCAGATTGCTATGCCACCACCATGTTCAGTCCTGTCACGCCGGAGTGGGCCGGAGTACCCTGGGATGGCTGACTCGTGAAGGGAGAATTTCTCTGCGGTGATCTTGGTTTCAGTAACAACAGCGATATCAGCTTTGGAGGATACAAGCGCGTGTTGAAACTCTCCAAATTTGGACATGATTCCACCAGCATTTGTAAGGAGGATTTTCATTGTTGCTTGCTTGCAGTATCTGCGCTGCTGCTTTTGTAATAGTAGCATCTTGGAAAATTTATATTTTTGATAGTTAGCTTCAGTAGAAACTTCTCCAGTGTGGCTCTTAGCTTCATTACCACGGAGACTAAGCATTCAAGTAATGCACGAAGAACAGTGGCTAGATGTGAAGTGAAAAGCCATTGGACCGTGCCCGTGGAATACGCATTTAGTATAGAAGAATTTCTTGCTATGTTGGCAGCAAACACTGTATAATACTTATAATAATTACATTACCAGTAGAAAGTGCCCAATGTGCATTGCTTCAGCACTATTTTTTGGACAAAGCAGTCAACAAATTCCACATCACTATCGGCTTCATGTTGGAGAAAGTTGTGAAAAACACTAGAGCATACATGTACACTCAATACACATGCTCAGCTACATGTATGGCATTTAGTATGTGGGCGACTTCAAAGTTCTATTTTGGTAGTTTGCTTCGGTAGAAACTGTCTAAACTTGATCCAAAGCTCTACTACTATGTTCTGAAGATGTTGCAATCAAGTAATGTAAGACACGTATCTGCCGCATTGGAGCTAGTTGTGAAAACCTTTAGACCATACACTCAATGCACATGCTCAGCTATGGCATTTAGTATGTGGGCGACTTCAAAGTTCTATTTTGGTAGTTGGCTTCTGTGGAAACTGCTAAAACTTGATCCAAAGCTCTACTACTATGTTCGGAAGATGTTGCAATCAATTATTGTAAGACACGTATCTGTCATATGGTGGAGTTAGGGGTTCTAAGGCGTTGGACAATGTCCCAGTGCAATGTGCTGATTCTTGAAATATGGCATCACTTGAAACTTCAAAGTTTTATTTCACGAGTTACCTTCGGTAGAACCTGCTCAAACTTGCTACACAGTACCATTATTAGGTTATGATAGCATAACCATCGAATACAGGGCAAGTCCAGTGTCAAATACTTGTGGGCGGGGCTAATATGAGGGACGTGTGCGCTGAAATGGGATGATTCCGAAAAGAGAAAAAGGTCACCTTCTAGCAGAATTCTACCCACTTCTACAGCTTATGCTGATATTTAGCAAGTATACTACTGTCCTGATGTTGGACATCAAGAAAAAGGGGGTAACTACCAGTGCTACGGCCAAAAAAATGGTTTTCCGGTATTTTTTGGCCTAAATTGGCAATTGTGAGTATGCTATGTTTGGCCCCGCCCCCGAGTGAAACCGGCCGGTAGAACTTGATAAAAATTTGTCTCCGTACACTAGATATCAAACGGAACAAAGTACAATCGTTTGTAGCCACGTTTCAAACAAAAAAAATTTGGACCCGAGGGGTATTAACTTCCCCTTCAAACATAATGTCTTGTAGCAGTGTTCACCGAGGAAGGAGAACGCTCTAGCCGCTGCTGTTGTCCGTTTCATCCACATTGGGCGTTAGCTGCACCGCGCCTATTGTGTTTTAGTATTCCATGGACACACATTAGCATTCAGAGCGATTGTGGAGCCACAATTTACTTCACACAGCGTTGTATTGTCCACGAGCGCAAACTTCATTATCAGCAGTAACTGTTACTCTTCATCCTACATGTAGACTTGGAGTATACACGGGCTTGTCACGACAGCGACAGCTCTACAGAGTGTTCAAGTGAGAAACATTAATTTCAATTGTTGGTGGACGAATAAATGGCTGGTTCCGAAAAACGTGGCCTGCACCGATGGTGTTTGGTGGATCATCAAACGGGGTGACCAGCAGTGTTCACCGAGGAAGGAGAATGCACTCACCACCACTGTCGTCCGATTCATCCAAGTGGGCGTTAGCTGCGCCGCGCCTATTGTGTTTTAGTATTCCATGGACGCACACTAGCGTTCTCAGCGATTGTGGAGCCACAACATATCTTCATGCGGCGTTGCACTGTCCAAGAGCAGAAACGTCAGCAGTGGCCCATCATCATACATGTAGATTTGGAGTATACACACCATGCGCCAATGGGCCTTGGCACAACAGCGGCGGCTCTACGGAGTGTTCAAGTGAGAAACATTTGTTTCGACTTGTTGGACGAACAAATCGTGGGTGCCGAAAAACGTGGCCTGCGCCGATGGTGCTTGAAACATCAAGCATGGTATGTGGTGACTGTCAGTGTTCATCGAGGAAGGAGAACACTCAGGCCGTCGACCATTCATCCATATCGTTAGCTGCACTAAGTCTGTTGTGTCCTTGTATTCCATGGGCACACACTCATGAAGCATGGCGTCTGAGCTGTGTTCACAGAGCGGGGAGATGCTCTTGCTGCTATCTTATCTGTCCTGTGTATTCCCAAGTGCCGAAGGCTCACAACGATGGTGTTGGACAAGTCAGATAAAATGGAGTCAACGTAAGTACGCATGTGTACTCTTACTGACTGAAACATAAGTGGGGTGTAAGAGCTAATTCATATGGTGTCGTGACATTCACATGTACGAGGTTAGTGTGTAGTACTTGTTACGTACTGAATTCTGTGACTTTGTTTTGTCTCCATATACTGCATGCATTCACGTTTCACAGTTATCAGTTTGACCCTGAGTTCATGTCTGTTATCCCGTGTCTCCTCTACTCAGGCGCGTAGCACCGCCGTTGGCGGTGGTCCGGCCGGGGGGGGGGGGTTCGGGGAGATCTCCCCCTAAATGTTTTTGAAATTAGGGTACAAAATCCTGCATTCTGGGCATTTTTGGCATTGTTTTACTATGGTGGTCGTGGTCGGGCGAAAAAGTGGTCCGGCCAAAGCCGGACCGGCCGGAGCGGCTGCTACGCCCCTGCTACTTCTTTTTGTTTCCACACGGTTCATGGTGTAGCGCTGCACGTGTTCCATCAGTTTGAACTTCAGCATAAATCGCAACTACTTGTACTTTCGGACATGTCACGTGATTGTTGCCAGGGTTTGAGCCAACCAGAGCGCTTACAGGCAGGGCCTGAACCCCTGATCATGCCCTGCCTGCCAGCTAGCTCTACTACGATATATGTCACGTACCCGCGCTGCACGGTTCTCCTGCGCTTGGGCTTGCTTTCCCTTGGTAGTTGGAAGTCAGTGGCTGTTTTAGGACTCTTAGATTATGCACAGAAAGTGGTGGACATCACGCAACTGCATTGTAAATAAAAGGGGGGTTGTCAACTGACAACCGCATAATTTTTCGACATAATTAATATAAGAATTTTCATCTAAAGAGTGAATAGCAACTAAATAGAGCGGTTGTCGGTTGACAAACCCCCTTTTATTTAGATTATGTATCTGAAGTAAACACAACGTAGAAATATCACAATTGTCTCTTGTGTATTATATCCGTCTGATGTCACCAGATCGTCACATGGTGCTGTGACCAAGATACGGATCATGACGAACGCTGATTCAACTGGACGAATCGAAACCTGACGACGAAGAATCGCGAGGCTTTTCAGATGCAGGGACACAATGGAAACTGAACGACTTCAGAACAGCACTGAAGCGTTATGTTATCATGCAAGACGCCTTTCTGCGCCGCACAAACACAGGCGGTACTACAGCAGAAGATGCCACTCACTATTCTGCAGGTGAACTGGTGACAGGCGCATGCAAGTTCACGTGAAGGAAGCGGTCTGATGGTAACTGGAATGCCAGCAGTATGAGAGGGTGTGCATTCTGCGGCGGATCTCACCTGGACAAGAGCTGCACGAAATACACAACAGTAGCACAGTGGAAAGAATAACTGATTGAACAGAAGCGTTGCTTTGTGTGTTTGCGCACAGGGCACCGGTGAACTCAGTGCAAGGCCACCCGCAAGTGTAATGTGTGTTCTCGCATGGGTCACCAATCAGAGTCACCATCATGTCACGATCTGCCCTGAATCTCAACAGAAATCTGACAGCAGGACCAACATAGTAGCTGATCAGCCTGTGGCTGACGAGGTACCAGCATCTGGCGCAACAGGAGCTAGTGCAGCATCAACCAGTATCGCCATTGACTGTAAGATAGTCAGTCATCTTGATCGGTGCAGATTTCCTCTGGGAGTTTATGACGGGGAGCACCAGAGGACTTCCGCCAGTACTACAGTTTCTGCCTACCACAGTCGGTTTTGTGGTGACTGGCCGAACACGTCACTCCAAGCACTCAGCTATGCCGATGAGCACTACGAGCAGCCATGCCAGCTATCGTTTCTCTAACTGATGCAACTTCCGACTCCTGCACCATCCCAGATCTGTGGGACCTAGACTGAGTTGACATCCAGGATTCAGGCAATCTTACTAACAACGACCAAGCCATTAGGCAATTCATCATTGTTCATATGTATTGTGTTGTCCGCTGCTATTCGAAGCTCTCGGAGTCGGAAGCGTTACCTCTGTTTCCCCTGTTCCTCCCTGCGCGGAGTCTGTAGTTCTGGCTTGCAGTCGCTGTTACATGCATGTTGGCAGTTGCATGTGTTTTGGTTTTCAGTTGTCTTTATTTGTTTTGTGTGGACGACAGTTCAATATTCTAGCAGTTGTTGCACGTCCTACATTCCGTAGTTATCTGCGGTTGGTGTTCGATAGAGCAAACTGTGTCCTTCTCCAGAGTGGAGTAAACCATTCGCTTGTGTCTGAGGAAAACCCTGTGTGTTGACGAAGTGGGTTGACTTGGCTGTAGAGTGAAAGTACCACATGGTCATATGGTCCACAAAATCTTAGAACTAACTTAGGGTCTTCTGGCGTATGGTATAATTATATGAGCAGCATGAGAGTGAAGTAAAAGACAATTAGCTCAAACAATCAGTCTTTCAAGAGTAGGTGTTTCATCACGGAATAGGTTCTGCAGTTCACTTACACACTGCAACAATGGACCAGCAGTGTCCAGCATACAATAGAGTCATGTGAATATGTACCGTATGCATACTCACAGCTGCAAGGCCAGCGCCCCGTGGCTGCTTGACTTCTCACTCGATTTTAATATTCACAACAGTAAGACTCTGTGATCAATCAGGGCTCTGTGAGCAGTTATGCTTCGAAGTAGTCACAAATGCCCTATGATCAGTCACAAAACTAAACTTGGCAACCAGTCACAGCTTCCACGGTGCCCCTAGACCAGTCACCAGAGATGACTGTAGTAAATCTGCAGAGAGTTTCATAATCTGTTCATTGCAAAGTCCACTATACTATGATTCAAGAGGGGGGTAGCGTTCCTGCGGAAGCGGAAAACTTGGCTGGAACCCGAGTGTCACGTGAACCCTGATTTTTAAGACTTTCATTATTTGTTTTACGATGAGCCTATTATACGCGATACAGGCTCAGAACACACTTTTCGTCTAGTTGGCATATCAGGGATATAGGGCGGAGCAGCCCATATCCCCAATTATGATACGCGAGTAATTATGACACGCGAGTAATAGTGAAATACGATTGGCGTATTGTGCTCGACTGACTGCGGTAATGTAAAGCTAAAATCAAGCAGTCTGTTTGCCCTTAGCATGGCCTTTGTCATGCGGGTGCCACATCCGTGGAAAGGCAACATGCCGGCTAATCTCCCTGAGAAGTTGAGTGGTTATCAGCAGGCGATGACGCTGTGTCGATGATGACCTGTTGATGCCCGACAGGAACCTTGCGAGGAGAGTCATTGGGCCCGACGGGAAGGTAACGCCAACTTCCACATGAAGTTTGCGGATGGCCGACATGTAGACATGGACAGATCGGGGCTGAAAAGTTCTGAACAACTCGGCAGCAAAATAACACAAAAAGTAAAAAGTCATCACCTGGCAATGGATTCCAGGCATGCCCTTGACAGAACTGGAAGTAACGGGTATCGGCGGAAAAATATTTCTGGCTGGTGCCAGTGCTGCTAGCTGCAGCACGGCGTCCGTCAACTGAGAGTTGGCAAGACTGGCTGATCTGGCTCAGCTGCTTCCGGAGCCCTCGATGTTTCAAACACCATCGGCGCAGGCCACATTTTTTGGCGCCGACGATTTGTTCGTCCACCAACAGTCGAAACAAATGTTTCTCACTTGCACAACCCGTAGAGCTGCCGCTGTTGCGCCAAGGCCCATTGGCGCATGGTGTGTATACTCCAAATCTACATGTATGATGATGGGTCACTGCTGACGTTTCTGCTGTTGGACAGTGCAACGCTGCATGAAGATATGTTGTGGCTCCACAATCGCTGAGAACGCTAGTGTGCGTCCATGGAATACTAAAACACAGTAGGCGCGGTGCAGCTAACGCCCAACGTGGATGAAACGGACAACAGCAGCGGCTAGAGCGTTCTCCTTCCTCGGTGAACACTGCTACAAGACATTATGCATGATGATTCACCAAACACCATCGTTGGGGGCCAAGTTTTCCGGCACCACTGCGAGTTGTCCGTCCACCAACTAACTAACTTTGAGTCATTCTTCAACACTTCGTAGAGCAGCCGCGCAAGGCCTTTCCTTCGCGTTAGGGTAGCGACCCTTCCTAGATGATATCGCTATTCATTGTTACTTTTTACTACAATGAATGAGTAGTGTTTCTCCGAAAATAAAGTCAGCTGCCATTACGCATTACTAGTGTAGGCATTAGTGCGCCTAGGCCTAGCGCCTAGCGCCTAGCGCCTGGACTTGTAAAATAATTAATTAATTTTGCAAGTCTTCAATCTGACAATCATGTAACATTGTTTGCATGTATATGTACGCGCTATCCAGCCATGTGGCGTGAACAGATCGATTGCTTGACGTGAAAGGTAGCGAGTCGAGTCGAGTCGTACGCGCGCGCTCGCGGACGTGTCTGACACGTGAAACGAAAAGATTTTTTGGCGGGTAGTCGGCAAAAATTAAAGGGGAACTACACCCAAAATCAAAACTTCATGGTCCGTAGAGTTTTGGACGCTGAGTCGAATGGTGAAGTTCGAAGGTCCCACTTCGATCCGACCAAGCGTTCTTGAGATAATATCAGTTTGCCGGGTAGGCTTGTCCACATTATGTTTTGCATCTTTTTTGCAACTTGGGGGTAAAAATGCATCCCCGGGGGAAAAATTGCAACTTGGGGTATATTTTGCTCTTTTCCATGCCCAAAGCAGGAATTCACTCCTCACGACCCCAGTCGAAAACATGAGGGTGTGTCAAACAGCCAGACCTCAAAACTACCAAGTTCAGGCGCCGAAGATTCACTGATTTTGTACTAGTGGAACTACATGTCCAAGTTACTTCAGGACAATGTTATGTGTCCTTGAACACCCTATCAATGTTACATGCTTTATAAACCAATACCACAGTAGTACTGAATGTACTAAGACCCAAAGGATCTAGGCCGATTTCACACTACACCAAATCCTGCCTAAAAAGCCATTTTTCAGGCACTTTTCAGGCAAGTTGCCATGGCGATCACTTTGAGAAACGCGCGAAAGTGAAAAGTGCTTGTTGTCTACAAAGCAACACCAGCACCCTCTTTCAAGGCAACTTTTTACCTTTTCAGGACACTTTTCTGACTTTTCTTCAGCCTTTCGATTTTTTCCGAATGTGTTCCCTGTCGTATCTTTGTTGTTGTTGTTACTTTATTTTACTTCACCAGAATTACAGGCAGTAGAATGCCTTCTCACTAGACCAGGTCTAGTCCTCACAAATGATGAAGAATGTGAATGAACATGCTAAAGCTAATGAAAAACAAGAAATAGAAAAAGATGAGAAAATCTTGTGTTTTATATTTTATGACGGTATTTGTATGTGAGTGACAGTGATTAAATGACAAGGGAAAGAAAAGAAAAAGATAGAAAGAAAAGAGTAAGGAATAAACGAAGCAGATGTATGAAATAGAAATAGAGAAGTTGAGGTATTTGAGGAGAAAAGTCAGTTTGTCGATTAGAGACCAAACCAAAAGATCAAAATGCACATGTCTGACGAATGAGTCAAGACAGAGAAAGCGTGTCAAGAACATCTGGGCACAGCAGGGCTTTGAAACCCAGAATATCTTCATGGCTACGAATATTTGCCGGAAGCCTGTTCCAATACACGCTGCCCACGAATTGCATGGACGCTCGAGATGCTGGTCCACGAACGAATGGAATTTGGAGAAGACGTGAGACCTGGCCACGTGTAACACAGCGTGTGCTTTGCTCAAGACCAGGTTCAGCGATCAACAGAAAGAAAGGCGAAAATAGCATGCTTGCATTGGAGGCAAGACATCTATGGACAAAAACTACAATCTTGAGCTTAAAATGGTGGATCAGTGGGGAAATATTTAATCTAGAAATAAGAGGTGCGGTCGGTGTTTGACGAGGGAGCTGAAACACAGCTCTGACTCCAGCCTTGCTGATCTTCCCCAAACGGTCGAGAAGCTGAGCTGTGAGGCTTGGGTAGAATGCTGCTGAAGTATAACACAGCTGGCTGTTTACCATACTGGTGTACCACGACCGTCGAGCTCTAAGCGTTAGTGAACGCCCGTGTCTCCACAATTGCCCTATGGTTTGTGCAGTTCTACGTGACACATAGTCGACATGTGGCCTCCATGACAATTGGTCGTCGACGATCACACCAAGGTATTTTGCGGTGGCCGTCACCTCCAGTTGCTCGTTGTTGCAGAAAACATTGGGTGTGGCAATGGCTGCGCCACGAGGCTGAACGAACATGACCTGAGTCTTGCTGGCATTCATTACGAGGCCGATGTCTTCAAGCCATCGGGAGATATCAGTTACTGCTCTCGTCAGAGTTCTGCCAACAAAATCTAAGTCAGGATGGGAGAAATCAAGGATTATATCGTCAGCAAATTCTTGGTGATTGACAGTTGCAGGAAGTGCTGTGTGCAGATTACAGGTGTACAACACAAAGAGAATGGGTCCAAGAACGCTCCCTTGCGGAACACCACGCGTACAGCCAACAGAGCAAGACAAGCTGTCCAGCACCCTCACTTGCTGTGACCTGCCACTGAGGTAGTCACAGAACCAGTGTAGGGGTGCTCCTCCAATGCCTAGGGTGTACTGTTCATTAACCAGCCTCTCATGTTGTACACGATCAAACGCCTTCGACATATCAATCATAACCAAACCGGTGTACTTGCGCTCGGATTTCGCTAATAGCCAGCGATTCACTGCTAGTACCAATGCATCTTCTGTTGAATGGCGGGGTCGATATGCAAATTGAGTCATCGGGTATAAATCATTGCTGTACAGATATTCTGTCAGCTGTCTCTTCACAAACTGCTCTAGGATACGCGAAACGATAGGGAGTAAGGATACAGGTCTGTAGTTGCGGGCTGATGAGCGGTCTCCGGCTTTGCGCAGGGGACTGATGTGGGAGTGCTTGAACGTGGTGGGCACAACACCACTCTGTAGTGAACACACACACCGGAAAGTGGTGGAGCAAGCACATTTGCACATTGCCGCAGGACAATTCCAGGTACAGAGTCACTGCCGGCAGCTTTGAATGGATCCACAGCTTTAAGACACTTTTCAACATCTGCAACACTTACAGGTTTGAAGACGTGAAGACTGTTAGCTGGCATTGGCCCAAGTGGCGGGTGCAGATTCTGTGGTCTGCTTGGGTCATTGACAATTTCACCGAAGACCTGGCCGAGATCCTCAACAGAAACCTGAGGTATTTGACGTTCCTTCCGTCGCCCTGTGACTGTGTTCATTGCTGACCAAAGTTTCCGCTGATCAGGTGTGTTGCACTGGTTTACGAAGTACAGGTTACGAAGCTTTCGGTCAAGCTTCCTGGCAAAAGTTCTGGCGAGCCGATGTTGCTCACGAAGCACCTCATTGGCTTGATCCTTCATGAGTCGATGGTGTAGCCTGTTGCGGTGCCGTACTGCAGATACCAACTCCTCAGTTAACCAAGGACAGATACGGCGACCACGCTTGCGCCTCGCCACCAAGGGGGCGTGCTCATCTAGTGTTTCCATAATAGCAGACGTGAATGCACCTGTCATGTCATTTATCGTGCCGTTCCGAGGGAACTGATGAAAGTGGACACACAGATCAGTCTGAAACTTCTCCCAGTCGATGGTGTGGATACGGCGACTCTGTCCGGGTTGTGATGTTCGGTTTACCTCTGTCTGGTTTACAGGCAAGTGTGCAAGGATGGCGAAATGGTCGCTAATATCTCCGTAAATCGTTTCACAGGCACCAGAAATGGGTGTATTTGACAGAAACAGATCTATGGTTGAAGCAGTGTGGCTCGTGACACGAGTTGGTGAGGTGACATAATTCCGAAGATTACTACTGGATAGTACTCGGTGCAGATGTTGTGCGTTCGGAGAGTTCTCACAGCTGTAATCAATGTTGAAGTCTCCAATGAGAACGGTAGATGCCTGAGGGCCTTCCATAGCAGTTTCTATGTTCTCTTGAAGAGAGTCCCAGTACGGCACTGGCTTGTCTGGAGGACGGTATCCACACCCGACAAGGAGAGTATCACCAGGACATCTGACTTCCAGCCATACAATCTCTAGCTCAGCAGCTTCCAAATCCATTCGTCTTCGGACAACCACAGACTCATGGCAGTAAATGCCGACGCCACCACCTTGCTGGATGGGGCGGTCCTTCCTGAAAAGTTTGTAATGAGGAATCGCCAATTCTCCATCACCAACATCGGGTTTCAACCAGGTTTCTGACATACCAAAGATGTGCACTCCTCTGGCCGACAGGAACTCCTTCACCTCATCCACTTTCCGTCTGATGCTGCAAACATTCAGAAATGAGATTGTCAGCATTGACCTTTAGATTTGCTGCGGGTAAGCACTCCATCGTTGAGATCGCTGGTCGCTGACTGATCTTTTGGTCCGTCAGGCTTCTGCATATCCACTGAGTTCCCAGATCCAGGGTACTTGTCGAAGTTCCATTTTCGACTGTAGTACGGAGATGGCCAAAATTCCTTTGTATTTACAAGTTCAATACTCGTTCTGTTGAGAATGAGTCGGGCTGAGTGACCTTTCTCCTTGGGAAATAGCGTGCAATCATGGATTTGCACCTTCACGCCAACCTCTTGCGCCCTTTGTTGTACGTATTGACAAAGGGTATCTGCATCGCAATCCTTCCGGAGGTTGCCCACAAACAGAACAGCCTTCCTTCTTGTTGGCTTCTTGGTGCAGATCAGCTGCCATAAATTGCTGCCTTCCGCATCCTCTTCAAAAGTAGGGAGCATTCTGGAGAGTCCTTGTTTGCCAGGTTTTGCATCAGTTGGAGCATCTGGGTCCATTTGATGCACCCTGGACGCTTCAGTCACGCTGGTATCTTGTTGTTCGGTACGTACAACTGAGGAGCATGGTTCAACCGAATCTCGTACTAGTTCCTTTTGAGGACAGCCAGCTACGGGTACGGGTACGCCAGGGCTGGAAGCTGCAACTCGCTTCTGTTTCTTCTGGGATGATTTTTGCACCGAGGGAGATCCTTGGCGTCTTTGGCCGCCATTTGTCGTCTTGAGCAGACTGCAAAGCCATCATCTCGTTTGTGAGCGCTTCTACCTTCCGCGTAAGGTGGTCGATACGATTTAGAAGTCGTTTCTCCCTATCCTCAGCTGCACTGCGGTCTAGCTCCAGTATCTCAACGATCTTCAGAAAGTAAGATTTCTCCATACTAGTACTCTGGTTTGAACTTGCCGATTCAAAGGTGGGGGACACCAGATCTGCCGGACACTCGACATCTACTGGCACGCCTGTCGCCATAGCCCAGGACAGTGTTGTACCTGGCATGGGACGGTCTCTACACAGCTAAAAAAGCCCAAAAACACAGGAGCGTGGGAAACTGCTTCCGACCTACACTGAGTTGTCCTCAGTTGTGGTGAGTTGTGAGCTGTCAACAATGCCACAGGGTCATGTTTAGCCAGGAGCTTGAGGGCGAGCTGATCGAGCTTTGGAGCGGATATTTGAGGCGACCTCCGGCCGGTACAGTTCGCAGGAGCTACGCCGGAGGAGATCGCCATCAAGCTGAATTTGTTTGCTGAACAGCTCCGGGAGGAGGCAATATACTGCGTCGATCGTCCATTCCAAAATCGACAACATGAAAACGAAGGCGAAAGGACTGTACGAGACATACACAACGAAAACTGCCACCGGAATGCCTGTTGGCGAGGTTGACAAATATTCGACCTATGATCTGGAATCCGCCTACACAGCGCGCTAGCGTGGTCAAATTTCAAGATTGGGCACTCGAAAATGGGTGATATTCGAGGATTTGGCCCAACAAAGAGCCTCTCCACTACCGCCGTTGCTAGATCAAGCACAGGAAAGCCTCACAGTGTAACCTTCAAAGCAAAGTCCCGTGATCGACACTTGTACTTGTAGGTGTGAATGCAGCTTCACTTTATAAGCCACTTTATGCCTTCAAGGCAAAGCCACTTTCGGCGTAGTGTGGAATCGGCCTTAAGGAGGCTCCGAACAGTTGCGCAGCGCAGTGCAAAAAGGGCACCTCCGAAATCTGTTTTTTGCCGCGAGATTCGAAAAATGTTGTGTTCCATGCGGAAACAAGCTGTTGTTCAGAAAGAAGTTTTTTGATTTCTCTGTGCTCGCAGTTGTTCAGGATGTAGTTCTACTCGTTGCAGTGTTTCTGTAGCCGTGGCTGTTTCTACGCTGGAAAGAATCACTGGCCATGGCTAATGCAAAACAAAGGCAGTTCCTACGTTGCTTGATTTTTTTGTGAAAACTTTGTTGAAGCGGTACGATGTGGCCACGAAGAACAAAATATAATAATATTACTGACGAAGAAGGGTGAGAAAAGCAGGCTGAAGTCAGTGAAGACATCGATGTCGAACGTAGTGATACTAGTACTGGTACTGGAATTTAGCATGGACTACCTGTGGAGCGTGAAGTGGCTGCCCACTCGCTGGTAAGTGGACCCACTTGCAGCTCCAGTCGCACGAGTACCGTTTGAAACTTTCTGTGGATCCTAGAGTATCCTGAGCTCAGTGGACGACGCATCTCAGGGCTGCTGAACTTGGGCTACTGTCCCTGTAGCAATGAGGTTCGTGTCAACCACTGTACTGCACTGATGGTGTAAGGAAAACGCTGGCCAGAAGCTTGTGTTCTGAACCAGGGACGAACTTCTAAATCCTGCTTTTGTAAAAATGGGGATGCCACAACTAAGATGTGCACACTCAGGTGTGTATTGGGTAAATGCTTGTGGTTGATTATTTTGAATCCTTTCCTATGCGCAAGTACGTGTATACATGCGTTTGTGTGTGTGTGTGTACGCGCACGCGCACGCGCGCGTGTGTGTGTACGTGCGCACGCGAGTGTGTGTGTACGCACGTGCGCGCGTGTGTGTGTGTGTGCAAGCTGTTGAAAGGTGTAATCCGAGCACAAGTTGCTATGTCTAACGTAGTTTGTTCGCTATCCTCGCTTCAGCGTTGGGCAGGTGTATGAGTGTGTGTGTACGCACGTGTGTGTGTGGGCACGTGCTCGTGCCCGCATGTGTGGGTTCGCACGCAATGTTGATCTGGGTTATGCACATGTCCCCACGAGTGCACTGTGTGCATGTGCATGCAAATGTCTGTGTACATGTATGTGTGTATGCACGTGCATGTGTGCGCGCGTGTGCAAAGCTAGGTGTGGAAAGGGGGGGGGGGGGGAGGGGCTCACGGTGCTGGTTCTGTATGCCTCTCCTCTCTGGTGTCCGCAAGGACAGTGTGGTAATGGCTTTACACTACAGGAGTTGCATGTGAATGCGCATTTGTGAACGGTATTTGAGACACAAAAAGAATTGCCGAGAGAGCATGACAGTACACTACATGATTGTATATCGTATATGTGCACGCCGGCGTGTGTAGATGCATATTGCCCTTCATGCGATGTTTTTCTGGAGTCTGCTGCTATCAACGCAAGTGACAACCAGCAAATGCATGCCCAGTGCAGTGGCTGGTCTTCATGCTTTTATTTACACTAAGTCCTACTATGGACTAGTAGTGTTACAATGATGCGTGCACGAGCGTGCGTGTGGGTGGGTGTAGTAGTAGTAGTAGTAGTAGTAGTAGTAGTAGTAGTAGTAGTAGTAGTAGTAGTAGTAGTAGTAGTAGTAGTAGTAGTAGTAGTAGTAGTAGTAGTAGTAGTAGTAGTAGTAGTAGTAGTAGTAGTAGTAGTAGTAGTAGTAGTAGTAGTAGTAGTAGTAGTAGTAGTAGTAGTAGTAGTAGTAGTAGTAGTAGTAGTAGTAGTAGTAGTAGTAGTAGTAGTAGTAGTAGTAGTAGTAGTAGTAGTAGTAGTAGTAGTAGTAGTAGTAGTAGTAGTAGTAGTAGTAGTAGTAGTAGTAGTAGTAGTAGTAGTAGTAGTAGTAGTAGTAGTAGTAGTAGTAGTAGTAGTAGTAGTAGTAGTAGTAGTAGTAGTAGTAGTAGTAGTAGTAGTAGTAGTAGTAGTAGTAGTAGTAGTAGTAGTAGTAGTAGTAGTAGTAGTAGTAGTAGTAGTAGTAGTAGTAGTAGTAGTAGTAGTAGTAGTAGTAGTAGTAGTAGTAGTAGTAGTAGTAGTAGTAGTAGTAGTAGTAGTAGTAGTAGTAGTAGTAGTAGTAGTAGTAGTAGTAGTAGTAGTAGTAGTAGTAGTAGTAGTAGTAGTAGTAGTAGTAGTAGTAGTAGTAGTAGTAGTAGTAGTAGTAGTAGTAGTAGTAGTAGTAGTAGTAGTAGTAGTAGTAGTAGTAGTAGTAGTAGTAGTAGTAGTAGTAGTAGTAGTAGTAGTAGTAGTAGTAGTAGTAGTAGTAGTAGTAGTAGTAGTAGTAGTAGTAGTAGTAGTAGTAGTAGTAGTAGTAGTAGTAGTAGTAGTAGTAGTAGTAGTAGTAGTAGTAGTAGTAGTAGTAGTAGTAGTAGTAGTAGTAGTAGTAGTAGTAGTAGTAGTAGTAGTAGTAGTAGTAGTAGTAGTAGTAGTAGTAGTAGTAGTAGTAGTAGTAGTAGTAGTAGTAGTAGTAGTAGTAGTAGTAGTAGTAGTAGTAGTAGTAGTAGTAGTAGTAGTAGTAGTAGTAGTAGTAGTAGTAGTAGTAGTAGTAGTAGTAGTAGTAGTAGTAGTAGTAGTAGTAGTAGTAGTAGTAGTAGTAGTAGTAGTAGTAGTAGTAGTAGTAGTAGTAGTAGTAGTAGTAGTAGTAGTAGTAGTAGTAGTAGTAGTAGTAGTAGTAGTAGTAGTAGTAGTAGTAGTAGTAGTAGTAGTAGTAGTAGTAGTAGTAGTAGTAGTAGTAGTAGTAGTAGTAGTAGTAGTAGTAGTAGTAGTAGTAGTAGTAGTAGTAGTAGTAGTAGTAGTAGTAGTAGTAGTAGTAGTAGTAGTAGTAGTAGTAGTAGTAGTAGTAGTAGTAGTAGTAGTAGTAGTAGTAGTAGTAGTAGTAGTAGTAGTAGTAGTAGTAGTAGTAGTAGTAGTAGTAGTAGTAGTAGTAGTAGTAGTAGTAGTAGTAGTAGTAGTAGTAGTAGTAGTAGTAGTAGTAGTAGTAGTAGTAGTAGTAGTAGTAGTAGTAGTAGTAGTAGTAGTAGTAGTAGTAGTAGTAGTAGTAGTAGTAGTAGTAGTAGTAGTAGTAGTAGTAGTAGTAGTAGTAGTAGTAGTAGTAGTAGTAGTAGTAGTAGTAGTAGTAGTAGTAGTAGTAGTAGTAGTAGTAGTAGTAGTAGTAGTAGTAGTAGTAGTAGTAGTAGTAGTAGTAGTAGTAGTAGTAGTAGTAGTAGTAGTAGTAGTAGTAGTAGTAGTAGTAGTAGTAGTAGTAGTAGTAGTAGTAGTAGTAGTAGTAGTAGTAGTAGTAGTAGTAGTAGTAGTAGTAGTAG